CCCACTTCCATTTCTGGGAAGATGGAGCGCATGTACTCCTGCTTATTTCTCCTGCTAAGTACAGCTAAAACCCCTGGATATTATATATGACACAAACCTCTCACTGAAAGGTGGAGAGAAGGCAGACCATTTAGGAACCTCAGACGCTGAGGAATTACACCGTGGAGACACTCTCCACGGTGTAATTTCTTTTTGCCTCAATATCCCAGACTTGGAATAGAAAAACTGGCAAATGAGCGATAGCAACAAGCAGACAAAAAGAGTCCCCACGAAAGCCTGCTTTCTTTAGCCAAAGGACGAAGAAAGAGGTGAACTAGCCAGGCAGCTCTTGGACAATTACTACCGTACTCCAGGCAATCACCACAGAGAAAACTGTGGCTCCACCCAACCCATGCCAACAATGAGTGAGCGTGGAGCCTAGGTTTCCATCCTTGTAAGGCTGCGATAAAGCGCCCCGCTGTTCCTGCCTAAGCAACACGAGAGAGAGCTCAGGTAGGGAGCTGGGATTTTCCTCCTCACTGGCTGGTGATACCCTTCCTGCCTAGTGGTGAGCCCGGACTTCTAGTCTACCTGGTAGTTATGAGATGCCCCTCCCACTCCCTGCTAGGGCAGCAGCAGAGGAGGCCTAGGAGAGTCAGAACTTCACTGACCACTGCCCAGTGTCAATGAGGCCACTCCATGGAGTGAACACAGCCTGGAAAGCAGGCAGTCCAGCCCCAGCTCCGCAGTAACACGCAGGCTCCCCTGACCCTGAACACCGAAAGAGGCTGAGTGGGGACTCCTACCTTCCTAGGAAGAATGAGGCAGCATGTCCACTTTCCCTGCCAAAGCAACGTCACAAAAGGCAGCTACAACAAGAGATCACATTCCCAGAACATCACACAGAAATGTCCAGGCTTCCATCAGGAATCACTCATCACACGAAGAACCAGGAAGATCTCAAAACCGAGTGAAAAAACCCAATAGAAGCCAACACTGAGTTGACAGAGATGCTAGAATTATCTAAGATTTAAAGTCAGCCATAACAAAAAGGCTTGGAGGAGCAATTACAAACACTCCTGAAACAAAATAAGAGGTAAAAAGCCTCAGCAAAGAGACGGAAACTAGAAGGAAAAAAAAAAAGTAAAATTTGATTTTACTTTTTTTTTTTTTTTTTTGAGAGAGGGTCTCACTCTGTTGCCCAGTCTGCAGTGCAGTGGTGCAATCACAGCTCACTGCAGCCTTGAACTCCTGGGCTCAAGCGATCCCCCTGTAACTGAGTACCTCAGTTTAAAAATTATTTTTGCCGGGCGTGGTGGCTCAAGCCTGTAATCCCAGCACTTTGGGAGGCCGAGGCGGGTGGATCACGAGATCAAGAGATCGAGACCATCCTGGTCAACATAGTGAAACCCCGTCTCTACTAAAAATACAAAAAATTAGCTGGGCATGGTGGTGCGTGCCTGTAATCCCAGCTACTCGGGAGGCTGAGGCAGGAGAATTGCCTGAGCCCAGGAGGCGGAGGTTGCGGTGAGCCGAGATCGCGCCATTGCACTCCAGCCTGGGTAACAAGAGCGAAACTCCGTCTCAAAAAAAAAAAAAAAAAAAAAAAAAATTATTTTTTATTGCATTTTAGGTTTGGGGGTACATGTGAAGAACATGCAAGATTGTTGCATAGGTACACACATGGCAGCGTGATTTGCTGCCTTCCTCCCCATCACCTATATTTTATTTTATTTTTTTTTTACTTTTCCGTTTACACTTAATGTTAATATTATGTGTATCATCGCCCATATTTTAATTGCTCACTTTCTCTGTCTTCCTTTCCTCCCCTCTCACCCCATCATTGCTTCCCTCTCTACGCTCCCCTCCGGCAATGCAGGCTTATCTAATTAGGTTTCTGCTTAAGAAATCCCAGAGGCTAATCTCAAACAAACCAGGCATGAAGCCCCCATTCCAGAATCTTCCCGCTTCGGGGGAGTCATGAACAATTAGTCTACCACCACCAGGCTGAAGCCAAGATAAGGTCAGTCAGACCTCTGGACAGGTGATAACCCAAGATAGCGACAGAACAAGACACACAGGACCCTGACCCTGAGCCGTTCCCTCGTGCTTTCCATACCAAGTTTCCCTTTGAAAACCCCAGGGGAAATGCTAAAATTTACATCAGTACTTTAGAATGCCATTGCCGTCTTCTTCATTTGCTGGCTCTCCAGTTAAAACTGCTTTTCCTCCCACCTACCCCAACTCTTGTATTCTGGGTTTTTTTTTTTTTTTTTTTTTTTTTTTTTTTTTTGAGACGGAGTTTTGCTCGTTACCCCGGCTGGAGTGCGATGGCCTGATCTCAGCTCACCGCAACCTCCGCCTCCTGGGTTCAGGCAATTCTCCTGCCTCAGCCTCCTGAGTAGCTGGGATTACAGGCACATGCCACCATGCCCAGCTAATGTTTTGTATTTTTAGTAGAGACAGGGTTTCACCATGTTGACCAGGATGGTCTCGATCTCTTGACCTGGTGATCCACCTGCCTCGGCCTCCCAAAGTGCTGGGATTACAGGCTTGAGCCACCGTGCCCGGCTTTTTTTTTTTTTTTTTTTTTTTTAAGACAGACTCGCTCTGTTTCCTAGGCCGGAGTCCAGTGGTCCCATGGTCCCATCTTGGCTCACTGCAACCTCTGCCTCCTGGGTTTGAGCAATTCTTGTGCCTCAGCCTCCCAAGTAGCTGAGATTACAGGCACTGACCACCATGCCTGGCTGATGTTTTGTATTTTTAGTAGAGATGGCGTTTTGTCATGCTGGCCAGGCTGGTTTCGAATTCTTAACCTTAAGTAATCTGCCGGCCTCAGCTTCCCAAAGTGCTGGGGTTACTGGTATGAGCCATCACACTTGGCTCCAAAATGGAAATTTTAGAACCAAAAGATGGCTGCTCAAGCCTGTAATCCCAGCACTTTGGGAGGCCGAGGTGGGTGAATCATGAGGTCAAGAGATCGAGACCATCCTGGTCAACATGGTGAAACCCCGTCTCTACTAAAAATATAAAAAAAAAAAATTAGCTGGGCATGGTGGCAGGTGCCTGTAATCCCAGCTACTCAGGAGGCTGAGGCGGGAGAATTGCTTGAACCCAGGAGGCGGAGGTTGCGGTGAGCCGAGATGGCGCCATTGCACTCCAGCCTGGGTAACAAGAGCGAAACTCTGTCTCAAAAAAAAAAAAAAAAAGAACTAAAAGATGGCCAGGCACAGTGGCTCATGCCTGTAATCCCAGCACTTTGGGAGGCCAAGTCAGGCAGATCACCTGAGGTCAGGAGTTCGAGACCAAGCTTAACCAATATGATGAAACCCTGTCTCTACTAAAAATACAAAAATCAGCTAGGCATGGTGGCATGTGCCTGTAATCCCAGCTACTCTGGAGGATGAGATAAGAGAATTGCTTGAACCTGGGAGTTGGGGGTTGCAGGGAGCCGAGATTGCGGCATTGCACTCCAGCCGGCTGGATTCCGTCTCAAACAAAAAAAAACCCAAAACCCAAAAAAACCTAAAAGTTACAGTAACTGTAACTGAAATAAAAAAGTGGATGGGATCAACAGCAGAATAAAAAGGCCAGAGGAAAGAGATTAGGGAACTAGAAACTAGAACAGTAGAAATTACCCAATGTGACAACAGGGACCGACGGAGGAGGACGTGGCGGTGGGAGAGCCCCGCGTTAAGGTTTATAACAAGAGATCTCGTATTTCTATCAGCAGAGTCCAGGAAGGAGAGTTCGAAAGGAGAGGCGAAAACGAAAAAGCTCTAGACGAAATAATGCCTGAAAACTCCCCAAATCCCAAATTTGGCCATAAAGGTAAACCTATGGATTCAAGGAGCTGCGTGAACCACAAACACAACCCAAAGAAATCTAAGCCAAGAATCTCCTAATTAACTTCTGGAAAGTAAGTGAAGAGAAAAGGTTAAAGCAGTCGGTGTATCTACCCATAGGGGAAAATCACTAGAATGACAACAGCGTTTCTTTTTCTTGGGGGAGGTGTGATGGAGTCCTGTTCTGCTGTCAGGCTGCACTCCAGCCTGACAACCTCCACCTCCTGGGTTCAAGCAATCCTCCTGCTTCAGCCTCCCGAGTAGCTGGGCCTACAGGCATGCACCACCACGCCCGGCTAATTTTTGTATTTAGTAGAGACGGGATTTCACCATTGGCCAGGATGGTCTCAATCTCCTGACCGTGTGATCTGCCCGCCTTGGCCTCCCAAAGTGCTGGGATTACAGGCATGAGCCACTGCGCCCGGCTGACAACAGAGATTCTTGAGACACCTTGGAGAGCACGAGGAAGTGGCACAACATTTTTCAAGTGCTGAAAGAGAACGCTCAGCCTAGAATCCTGCAGTCCGTGGAAATACTTTTCAAGAAGGGAGGGGACATGCAGACATTTCAGGTGAAGGAAAGCTAAGAGAACCCGTTACCAATAGACCTCTCCTAAAAGAATGGCTAAAGGAGGTTCTCTAAAAAGAAAGACAAAGATAACAAGAAAAAGCTTTAGCACATCAGGAAGAAAAGAAAGAACGTGATAAGCAAAAAAAAAAAAAAAAAAAAAAAAAAAATATATATATATATATATATATATCAGTAAATATGACAGACTTTCCTTCTCTTGAGTTTCCCTAAATGTTTGATAGTCAAAATAAAAAATTATAACACTGTCTGATATGAATTGAAAAAGAACTGAAGAGGGAGACCCAGGCATCTCAGATCAACTTCCCCTTTTCATTCCTAAGACTGTAAACCGAAGCCCTTTTCATATGTTAAGCTATAAACCTAAGATTCTTCCACGTGTAATATCCAAAGTATAAGCCTATATAAAGAAGGAACCTTCCTTTGTTAGGCGAGCTTGGCTATTAGGCAAATATGCCACATGGCTCCCGGCCGAATAAACTCCTTCCTCCAATATTCGGTGTCCAAGAGATCCATTTCCCGCTGCCACTCCTGCTACAGAACCAAACTGCCATTTGAGTGGTTTTCACCCAGTAACAGTGGCCTCCAATCATTTTGTACTTCTGAAGCATGATGATTGGGTTTTCAGACTGGTGTGGGACATGCCTCCGTCAAACCTGGTTACGCTGGCACATTACCCAACTGATGTGAACTTAGGAAAAAACTCACAGTAATCCATACACATTTCATCCCAGTGTCCAATAAGATTTTTCTTTTTTAAGGTGAGTAAGCCTATTTTGTCCACTCAATGTAGGCTTCTGTTGGAAATGGAAAATTGTCTCGTAAAGGAAAAGCCTTTTTGCAGATGGAAAAAGATTTAAGGAGGTTAATAATACCAGCATAAAGATCACTTGAGCCTAGGAGTTCAAGACCAGCCTGGGCAACATAGGGAGACCCTGTCTCCAAACAAAAAATAAAAATATTAGCCAGGCATGGTGGTGCGCAGCTGTGGTCCCAGCTACCCAGCTAGTAGAGAGGCTGAGGTGGGAGGATCACTTGAGCCCAGGAGGTCGAGGCTGCAGTGAACCATGTTCATCTCAGAAAAAACAAAAAACAAATGAAAAAAAAAAAAAAAAAAAAACCACCAGAAAACAAAACAAAACAAAAAATCCAGCATAGTACTACTTACAAATATTCACTTAATAGCAGATTTTTTTGATGATGCTAAATTTTTTCAGTGGAAATAAAATAGATCCTGAGTGTTTAAACTTGGTCATATCTGGAAGTAGAATGAATTTGATAAACTCCATTTCAAAAATCTGCAACTGAAAAACGGTGTAGGCTACAGAGGATTCGTATATTTTGCCTTCACGATGTGCAGGAGCACACGGCATGCGAGTGTGGGGAAAACTCGGAAGGAATGTAGTGAGCGATTTCTCGCCTCAGAAGTCTCCGATCACACCCAACAACGACCACAAATACGCTGCAGCCAGGTTAGGCTGTGCCCTTGATGCTCCGAGCAGAGTCTTCCTCTCAACAGAGGGAGTCTGTCCTCAGGAATCTGTTGTCTGGCTATGAGCTCATTTGGATAGTTCACTTTGGCTGGGCAGGGAGAGATGATGAGGTGAGGAGACGGAAATCTTTTAGGATTCTCTGAGGCAGGTCTTACGCGCCAATACTAAAATAATGCATACGATTAGGATCATTACTTTTTTCTTCTGGCTAATTAAGCACCACCATTGTCTTGATTCGCATCTCATAGTGATTATCTGTTGACTAAACTGTCTCCCACAGTGAACCACCAGTTCCACAAAGGCAGAGGCCACCCCAACCCTTGTCTGAACCCAGCTCTCCTTTCAGTAAGAGAAGTCAAGACACTTTTTAAAGAAATTTATTTTTTATCATCTCTGCTGTCATTAAACCCAAGCCTCCAGCATCACTCTCCTACAGTTTCCAGGATAATAACCAACACCAGCATTTAGAGGGCACTTGTTCTGTGCCAGGCACTGCTTCAATGGATTCCACGCATTCACTTCCCCTGGAGGTCTGAGGAAGGTCCTACCGTTTCCCACTGGTTCTGGCAGATCCGTCTAGTCATTGGTTTCAGCTGTGGCTGGCCCTGCCCTTCCTCATCAGAAACAAACTGAAAACAAACGGAACAGCCCCCCTCCCCCCGCCCATGAGGACGCTCAGGCTCAGAGACAGTAAGCACGTTCTAGGGGCACAGCTGGTTTGGCAGAACTATGCTGGCCCTCAGCAGACTTTCTGATGTGTCCTGCCACGACCACGCTGCTCGGCAGCCCGAGTCAAGGGAGCTTTTCAAATGTGAAACTCATCAAAACTCTTCCGCCTGGAGCCCGGAGCTGGGGCTCACGCCTGGAGTCCCAGCTCTGGGAAGCCAACACGGGAGGATCCCCTGAGTCCAGGAGTTCAAGACCAGCCTGGGGAAAATAGTGAGACCTTCTCTCTACAAAAACCTCAAAAAGTTAGCTGGGTGTGGCGGCGTGCGCCTGTGGTCCCAGCTACTTGGGAGGCCTAGGTGGGAGGATGGCTTGAGCCCAGGAGGTCCCCGGGACTGGGTGGTGACAGCAGAGCGGGTCCCATCCAGGACGGAGGGAGACTGAGCTGGGTAGTTCTGTGCTCTAGCTCCCTCGGGCTTGCATTGTGCCCAGGCCAGGTCCAGTCTGGGCTTCATTTGGTGCGGGCTCAGGATGATTACTTTTAAGGATATTCAAATGGATACTAAACATACATAAAGATCTTTGATTTCATTGAAAATAAGAGAATTGCCAAAATTGTATGGGGATAGCTTCTCCCTGGTCAATGGGCAAAGATGAAAAAGGTTGATCATATACATTGTGTGGTTGGCAAGTGGTAGGCAAACACTCTTGTGGAGTTATTTCTATTGGGAGTATATATTAGCACAATACCTGTGGTCGGATCTAAGATTTTACTTTACCCTCCTTTCTTTTTTTTCTTTTTTTTTTTTTTTGAGACAGAGTCTTGTTCTGTCACCCAGGCTGGAGTGCCGTGGTATGATCATGGCTCACTGCAACCTCTGCCTCCAGGGTTCAAGCAATTCTCCCACCTCGGCCTCCTGAGTAGGTGAAACTACCGGTTTGCACCACCTCTCACCCGGCTAATTTTTGTATTTTTAGTAGAGACAGGGTTTCCCCATGTTGCCCAGGCTGGTCTCGAACACCTGGGTTCAGGGGATTCACCTGCCTCAGCCCGACAAGTGCTGGGATTATAGGCATGAGCCACAGCGCCTGGCCTTCCCTACTTTAACAAGCCAGCAAGTTAGCTTGTCCTTTAGTGGAGTGGTCCCCAACCTTTTTGGCACCAGGGACCGGTTTTGTGGAAGACAGTTTTTCCATGGATGGGGAGAGATGGTTTCAGGATGAAACTTTTCCCCCTCAGATCATCAGGCATTAGATTCTCGTGAGTGTACAACCTAGATCCCTCCTATGTGCAGTTCACGATAGGATTTGTGCTCTTTTTTTTTTTTTTGAGACGGAGTTTTGCTCTTGTTACCCAGGCTGGAGTGCAATGGCGCGATCTCGGCTCACCGCAACCTCCGCCTCCTGGGTTCAGGCAATTCTCCTGCCTCAGCCTCCTGAGTAGCTGGGATCACAGGCACACACCACCATGCCCAGCTAATTTTTTGTATTTTTAGTAGAGATGGGGTTTCACCATGTTGACCAGGATGGTCTAGATCTCTCGACCTCGTGATCTGCCCGCCTCGGCCTCCCAAAGTGCTGAGAATACAAGCTTGAGCCACCGCGCCCGGCCGGATTTGTGCTCTTATGGCAACCTAATGCCACTGCTGATCTGACAGGGGGTGGAACTCAGGCAGTAACGCTCACTCACCCATGACTCACCTCTTGCTTTGCAGCTCCGTTCCTAACAGGCCATGGAGCAGACCAGTCAGCAGCCCGGGGGTTGAGGACCCCTGCTTTAATGGATGCTGGACTAAGACAAGAGATTCCTGGATCAGAGACAAAGGACTTTATTTTTCATAGCACAGCAAGCAGCATGAGGCATGTTGGCATGTTTCCCCTTGTTCTCAAGTCCCACTGGGGCAATGTGGAAGGCCCAGATGGGTTCTGCTGAGGTCGACTAAGCTTGGGGAATAAAACTTAAAAAACTAAGCTTTGTCTTTTTTACATCAAGCAGCAAGCAAACCTGCTCTTTGTCTTAGAGAGACATCATCTTACCCTTTAAAGTTGCTCACTACAAATCTAGCCCTGAGTAAGGGCTCAGACAAAGCCCAGTCAGGCCTTGCCTTCTTGGTACACTCATCGAAGTGTGCCGGAGGAAGCCAGGGAGCAGCTGCTCACATCTGCACAGGGCAATGTGGCAACGAGCCTTGCAAATACACTTTATTTTGCAAATACGCTTTATTTTGACCTAACAATTGCACCTCTAGAAATCTGTCCCACATAAGTACTTTCACATACACAAATGATGACGGTTATAAGACGTTATTTATTCTAGCATTGTTTATGATAGGAAAAGATTAGAAACAAGTAAATGCCTATTCATATGGGACTGATATTATAATACTCTTACAATGGAATTCTTTATGTGCTGATATAGAGTGCCAAGACACATTGTCAAGTGAAGGAAACAAATGCAGAAAAATATGCATAATGTTCTCCCGTTTCTGTAAGAGGCAAAAAGTATACATATGTATCTTGTCTTGTACTGTGTACAGAAACTTTCATTCCTCTAAGAATGCCCAGTATATTGTTAGAATATCATTTGTTGTCTGTGGGGAGGTGAAGGAATGACTAGAAATGAAGTAGGCGACTTTTTTTGTGTATCACTCATATATATATATATATATATATACATATATATATATATATATATATTTTTTTTTTTTTTTTTTAAGACAGTCTTCCTCTGTTGCCCAGGCTAGAGTGCAGTAGCACAATTTCAGCTCGCTACAACCTCTGCCTCCTGGGTTCAAGTGATTCTCCTGCCTCAGCCTCTTGAGTAGCTGGGATTACAGGCATGCACACCACAACTGGCTAATTTGTATTTTTAGTAGAGATGGGGTTTTGCCATGTTGGTGAGGCTGGTCTCAAACTCCTGACCTCAGGTGATCCACCTACCTTGGCCTCCCAAAGTGGTAGGATTACAGGTGTGAGCCACTGCGCTGGACCTATTTTTTTTTTTTTTTTTTTTTTTGAGACGGAGTTTCGCTCTTGTTACCCAGGCTGGAGTGCAATGGCGCGATCTCGGCTCACCGCAACCTCCGCCTCCTGGGTTCAAGCAATTCTCCTGCCTCAAGCCTCCTGAGTAGCTGGGATTATAGGCACGCACCACCATGCCCAGCTAATTTTTTTTGTATTTTTTAGTAGAGACGGGGTTTCACCATGTTGACCAAGATGGTCTCGATCTCTTGACCTTGTGATCCACCCGCCTCGGCCTCCCAAAGTGCTGGGATTACAGGCTTGAGCCACCGCGCCCGGCTTTTTTTTTTTTTTTTTTTGAGACAAGAGTCTTGCTCTGTCACCCAGGCTGGAGTGCAGTGGTGCAATGTCAGTTCACTGCAACCTCCACCTCCCAAGTTCAAGCAATTCTCCCTGCATCAGCCTCCCGAGTAGCTGGGATTACAGGCGTGTGCCACCACGCCTGGCTAATTTTTGTATATTTAGTAGAGACAGGGTTTCACCATGTTGGCCAGGTTGGTCTCGAAC